ATCCAATTCTAAGTGACGATAAATTTTAGATTCTTTTAATGGATGGTCATTCTTGTGAAATATATATACAAACTTTCGATCCGAGCCCCGGTAGGCCGAGTGTCTACCATTCGACTCAGCTCAACGAGATTGGAAAATGTCCGTATGTAAGTATGTGTGTGTTTTTTATAGTGTGTTTAGGAAAGCTTTGATAAGCCTGGTCCTGTAGTACTGTGGACACGGTGTGGTATCGACTAGTCCCTAGTTTCGTCCACATTTCCACACACCGGTAAGAGGGGTGACGTTGCGCGTCCGAACCGATTCAGGTACTTCCTTAAGAAACCGTTACCAGTCAGGAACTGCGTCAAATGGAAGTTGACTTCTTCATGCTTCCTGTTCTCCCAGATCGAAAGAATCGGCATTAATCAATGAATCCAAGTCCACCGAGTCCCATTCCTGTTGCCACTGGGCCAACGACTCTCTCCAGCTTTCGCGCGCCCGCGCGCGTGTGTGTTTGTGTGTGTTGTTTGTCGGTAACAACTGAACCAAATTGGACCGCCAAAACAAAGCTGGCCCCATAGAACGCTATTGAATAGTTTTGGTTCCGGAATCTTTCACTGCTTGTAAGAATTTTGGAAAATTTATTAACTGAACTGTGGTAATGCGAGGATTATGATTCTGAACGTTAGAGATGCCCTTTTTAGACATATTTTTGAACGATCTCTGATAGGCATGGAAAATAACTTACATTCATCTCGTGCATTCATTTACGTTCATTTGTCTCTAACTTTTTTCATCAACAGAATTCCGTAACATAATTACATTCAAGAGTTGCAAAAATCTCAGAGAACTTCAAATAAGTTCTGGAAACATAAAAAAGTCCAAAATGCTTCAGAGTTATCATTCTAATACAAAAAATAAATAAAGACGTTTTCCAAGTAGTTCTGAATTTCTCGGAACTTTTTTGAAGTTCTCGGAACTTTTCTGAAGTTCTCGCAACTTTTTTGAGATTTTTAGAACTTTTCTGAAGTTCTCAAAGCTTTTCTGAAGTTCTCGAAACTTTTCTGAGATTCTAGAAATTTTTCTGAAGCTCTCGGAACTTTTCTGAAGTTCTCGGAAGTTTAATTAAATTTTCGGAACTTTTCGGATGTTTTCGGTAGTATTTGAAATTTCTCGAAAGTTTGCAAAAGTTCTCCAAGCTTCTCGAATTTTTTCAGATCCTTAGAAGACCTTGAAACTTTTCGAAAGTTCTTGGAACTTATCGGAAGTTCTTGGATCTCTCTGAACTTTTAGGAAGTTCTCGCAACTTCTTGAAACTTTTCGGATGTTCATGAAAGTTCTCGGCATTTCTCGGAAAATCTTAAAAGATCTCGGAAATTCTTGGCCATTCTCGGAGCTTATTAGAAGTTCTCGGAACTTTTTGGAACTTTTTGAAAGTTCTCGGAGCTTCTCGAAACTTCTCTGAATCTCTTGGGGCTCCTCTAATTTTCTCAGACCTTTTCTGGAGTACTTGTTAATTACCTGGAACTTATTAGATTAATGATGAGGAATTACTTTTTTAAACTTTATACATTTTCTTTGGGAGCATGCATTCAGTACATCACGGAAAATTTAGGAAAATCAACCCCCTGTCACGTTTTTCCTATGCCTATTGCTCCTAATACCCCTCCCTTCATTGAATGGTCCCCCGGAATATCCGCAACATTCGTTGAAGTTTTTTTTTATGATGATGGTCCCACCTCTCACCCCTACAAAGGTTTGAGCTGGACGATTTATATTTAAGATAATTAAATATGACATTTTAACGAGGTTTTAAAACAACATCGAACTGGTTACAGTTACAGATATAAATTCCCTATATAGTTTACAGTTGCTTCATAGCGATATAAATATGAAAAACTTAAGCGTCGCCTTTTTGTCCACCTAAAATATTCATGAGTATTACAAGCGATAAAGAGTTAATGAACAATCAACAAAGCATCCTATACACTAGCAATCCCGCAATCTTATGTATCTTCCAAATAAGCTTCAAAGTTGCATTTTTTTTAACAAATATTAAATTAAGTCCTCTATATCCGTGCTACGAGCGCGAGGCTCAAACCACAGACAAACAGACATAACACTCGCAAGTTTTTCATCGGACAAGCATTTAACGGACAATTTAAAAGTATCGTAGTTGGTAGTACCACCACCTGTGGCGCACATAGTCAGTTCCCTTGCGTTTGACGTTTACACACTACCGCCATCTGTTCAGCGTACTACCCACCACAGTGTACTCAACAGATGGCGGTAATGTTTTAGTGACGATGTTTTACAGTGAGAAATATTCAATGTGTTATGTCTGTTTGTCTGTGCTCAAACCTTTGTAGAAAACTTTTTTTAAACTACTACTATTAAATCAAATATCAAAAATCCATCATCACCATCGTGCACACTTAGATTTTTTTCCCGAGATGGGCACCACCGAGCAGCTCGGCATTTTATTTTGCTGCATCTCAGTGAAAAACTTGCCGAGATTCAGCTAACAAATAAGAGTTTTGCCGACATCTCAGCAAACATAACAAAACATAAATTTTGCTAAATCTCGGCAAGTTTTTCACTGAGATCCAGTAAAATAAAATGCCGAACTGCTCGGTGGTGCCCACCTCGGCAAAAAATATAAGTTTGTGGCGAACAAAATAGTTTTTAAAGTGCTACAATTATTATTAAAAAGTCGTTATGACAGCTATCCATAGAAAACAATCCGTTAGAGATAACTTCTTCAAAATACATAATTTGGCAATTCATAAAAAATATCATTGGATAACTGTTCAAAAGCAAGTTTTAACGTGTGAAATGCAATGTCTTTAAAATTCAGCTTATGCTTTTGCACGTTTAATAAGTCTAGGCATCGAATTGAAAACATTTATTCCTTTATAATACGATGAATTCTGTGAAGCACAAGTAAAAAAAATGTGGTGTTTTTATTTCATCCGCGTTTGTAGTATTATATCTATGAAAATCACTTCCTCTTTCAATTCGATCACACAAATATCGAGGCAGCAAATCGTTAATTACTTTAAAAATTAACACCATAGTCAAATATAAAATTCTTTGTTTCACCGAAAAACATTGTAAGGCGACCAGCATCAAAGTTGAGAAAGTGAATCTATTACCACAAACGAAGTGACAGACGACTTACTGGCGAAGAAATCAATTAAAATAATGTGGTTCGCTGTAATAGAATTTTCTTAGAAGCTTGTGCCATCATCCACCAGATGGGATAGTATTTTTGTTTTGGTTTTGCACGAAGTTGATTTAGTGTACAATGATTCTTTGACAGTGTGCAAAGAGTGTATATCATTTTGTCATTTTTTTTATGCATTCCAGTTTTGAGTAGAGTGAAAGAGATAGAACCAAAAAAAATCTAGTACATTTGGTGAAAATGCTAGTTCAATCCAGTAGTAGTGTTGCCATGTGGTACAATCCAGTGGTAGTGGTGTTGCCATGTGGTACACTGAAAAATTGCAATAGCAGGTTAGTCACCAAAGTTTTCGAGCCGCTCCGTCTGTCACTTCGTTTGTGCTATTACATCTCAAAATCAAGTCTAGATGAGGAGAGATGATAGATTTGTAAAGCTGTATTTTACTGGCAATAGTTAAATCGTTTTTCAATTGACATAGAATTCCATACTTCTTAATCCAAGAAAACTGACCTCAGCACTCTGTGGTTTGCTTAGAACCACAAACGAAGTGACAGACGGAGCGGCTCGAAAACTTTGGTGACTAACCTGCTATTGCAATTTTTCAGTGTACCACATGGCAACACCACTACTACTGGATTGTACCACATGGCAACACTACTACTAGATTGAACTAGCATTTTCACCAAATGTACTAGAATGTTTTGGTTCTATCTCTTTCACTCTACTCAAAACTGAAATGCATAAAAAAATGACAAAATTATACGCACTCTTTGCACACTGTCAAAGAATCATTGTACACAAAATCAACTTTGTTCAAATCAAAACAAAAAAACTAACCCATCTGGTGGATGATGGCACAAGCTTCCAAGAAAATTCTTTTACAGTGAACCACATTATTTAAATGGATTTCTTCGCCAGTTAGTCGTCTGTCACTTCGTTTGTGCTTAGAACTACTTATAGACATATTTTTTTCTTTTTATTATCATATGTGATTTCAAGGTGATATTTAAGTATTTAATAACTTCTAGACGCTTTGAATATAATTCCTTGGATTTCTTGGACTTCTTTCTCATGACTTCTTGGAGATCTTTCTTTGGAATAACAAGTTAACGAAGGACTATCTTTAATGTTCATAGATTTTATTCATTACATCAAAATTTAATCAATAAACCATTTAAAAATATCGTCTTATTGAGTTCTTATTCATATTAATTCATGAGTGGTTTCGAAAAAAAACGTTGAGCTCTAGTATCAGTTCCATCAATTGACCACTTTTAAGGATGCTCCGAATCTTACGGAGGACCATTCCGTAGTCTACAGAGTCCATATTCCGAACACAACTCCGAATGCATTCTGATAAGATGTCAATGAGTGGTATCTTAAAAACCACGGAGCTTCAGGATCAGTTTCATGAATTGACCTTTTGTGGGTGTTCCGGATCTTTTAGTGGACTATCCCGTGGTCCACAGTATCAATTTTTTTTATCAAAACTCCGAATTTATTCTGATAAGACGTCTATGAGTGGTTTCGAAAAAAGTGGAGCTCTAGGATCAGTTGACCACTTTTATGGATGTTCCGGTGGACCATCCTGTAGTTTCCAGTGTCCATATTCCTGACACAACTCCGTATTCATTCTGACCTGATGAGTACCTTCTAAAATAGCAGTACCTTCTACTTTTACGGACGTTCCGGATCTTCCACAGTATTAGACTTGTAGACAAAACTCCCCTTAAGCTCTCAGTTATAGATACTTCTACTTGTAATGCATAATGGGTTTCTTATTTCATAATTGAACCGTAGGTACGGAAATGGAAATCAAAAATTTATTCATTTTTATTTATTTAATCACCTTTTTCAACATTTTCTTGAAATAAAGCATTTTCAAATCATTAACCACATTTTGAATATAGGATACGTCACACGGTACTTCTATCAAAACAAAATCGTCATCAGCCTTCGAATAAATGATAAAATCACACGTTGAACAATTTAGTATCCACATATTAATTTGCACTTGGCAGTAGTACATGTGCTTCCAATTTAGTGTGATTTCGTCACCGTCCTTTTGTCTGACATAGGTGGATACATTTGCCGTCTTGAGGATCTCAAGCAATGACATTTCGGCTGTGCCAGGGCATTTAATTTCCAGTAGTAGTCCAGATTCTGCATCTATTCCATCTGGAGATCCTCCAATCCAGCTCTCTACAGGATGGATTACAAGGCCGCATCGTTTGATTAGAGGATTACGTTTTCTTCGATAGCATTCAAAAGCTAAAGACTCGGTTTCCTTGCCATATTTAGTAGATTTTACATTGAGGCTGCGGATGTTCCAGTATGACTCTATTTTTTTCTCCCAATTGGCAGACTTATTACTGATATACGTGAAGAGAGAGTAACAGGAACTGGCTGTTATTCTTGATGCCCGATGGATCTTCCAGGCATTTGTATTCTGGCCTTTCGTTTCGAGAGCAATCGTTATGGATTTCTCAATGTCAACTTGTATGTACTTTTCGTAATATATTTTTTCCTCGTCCGAGCAGTACGATGCTGGATGAACCTCAATACCACCGATTTTTCGTAGTAAGCATAACTCAATGTCTTTCGGAACACAAAATTCATCATCTGTATTATCTAACGCCTGTTGAGCACGATTTGGATAAGATAAGGGATCGTTCAGGAACCTGCCCTGAATATGTTTGTATAGTGCAGATTGCTTTGAAACTGAAACATGTAAAAACTGTGTTACTGGATAATTTATTAAATATAAATGTGATACTGCAGGATAACATACCGGCCAATATTCTGCTGAACGATTCGACCAATATTGCTTCTTCATCATGTTCGTCCACTTCCGGTGACGTTCTAGGGCGTTTGAAGCAACACATTTCGGAAACTTTTTTTGCACCCCATGGAGCAGACTTGTGAGCTTTCGGAGTTCCCCACACCTGAGTCACTTCCGTACAGGACATATACACCAGCTTTCTGTACCTTATGAATTAATATAAATCAAAACAAACATTATAAATAAATGTAATAGGTATGTACTGGGAAATAATGTTAAAATCCAATTACTTTTCTGCATGCAGCAAGCAAGCTACAATGTGCTTGCATTTAGAAGTTCCCGCCTTGCAGGAACACTTGAGCATCCATTGCGAAACATCAGAATAAATTCTCATATTTACAGTATGAGGAGTTTGGCCAGGGTGTGATGACTGGGTAACATACGCGAGAATGTCAATCCATTCAGTATCACATTTCCTCCAACCGATACAAACAATATGGTTTGCTGCAAAAACCGCATATCCTTCTTTGATCGGGCGGACGGATTCACCGACGTAGTCCAGTACATCGACAATTGTAATTTGTACCTCACGTTCAGAATCTGCAAAAAAAAACATAACCTGTAATGTTATTCCTGATTTGGATTTTACATTTTTTAAATATTCACTAATCTAATTTCAATGAATATATGTGCATAATAAAGTAAACGTAATTTCTCACCATCTGTTTTGCGTTCCATTTGAGAATATCCTTATTTTCACGACCAAAAAACACTTTAAAATTCACCTCCCACTTCGCGCCTTGGGACGAAAACAAAACCATCATCGCATTAGTAATAACAGAACTGACAGCTAGGTGTCGCAGGGCTAGTTTTAGTTTTGCTTTGATTTCTCAATTCAATGATGCATTTACGTTGCCTAAGGCCGAAGACATAGTAACGCGTTTAGCGAAGCGTGCGCGTGTGCGTGTACGTCTGAGCTACTTTGATGAGCGTCCATGCAAAATGCTTGGTGAAACGCTTACACCTGTCATAGTAAACGCGTTGCGATGCGTCTGCAGTAGCGTCAAAGCACTCCTTGGAGTGTTTTCACGCGTGTGCACGCAAAAGACTGTTGTAGTGCCATTGAAATTAAATGGTGATCGACTAGATAACTGTGATTTCGGTCGAATTCTATAAACTGAATATGAATAATTACGTTATAAATAGCATCGGTAGATCGGACGTCTAGTCTAGAAGTTTAAGTACATTTTAAATTTAGCCGGCATTTTTGTTTTGTTAAATGTTAAACAAACTGTTAATAAGAAATTGTTAAATGTGAAATGTTAAATGTTAAACGTTAAATGTTAAATGGCAATTGTTAATTGTTAATTGTTAAATGTTATATGGTAATTGTGTAAATGTTAATTGTTATCTGTTAAATGCTACATAATAAATTCTTAATTTCAAATGTTAAATTTATAATGCTTAATATTCATTACCTAATGATGAATGCTAAATGCTGAATGTTACATGTTAAATGCTACATTTTAATTGTTACATCTTAAATGTTATATGTTACATTTTAAATGTTAAATGTTACATGTTAAATGTTTATTGTTTATTGTTTAATGTTAATTGCTAAATGTTAAATGTTAAATTTTAAATATTATTTGTTAATTGTTAAATGTTTAATGTTGAATGCTTAATGCTAAAGGATAAATGCTAAATGCTGTTAAATATAAATTGTCAATGTTAAATGTTAAATGCTTAATGTTAAATTGAAATTTCAAATGTTAAAATTTAAATTTTAAATGATAAATTTGAGTGTTAAATATTAAATTGGTTCATTTCAAATGCAAAATGTTAAATGTTATATGTGGAATGCTGAATGTTACATGTTGAATGCCAAATGTTGGATGGTAATTGTAAAATGTTAGATGTTAATTGTTAAATGTTAAATGTGCATGTTAAATGTTAATTGCTAATGTTAAATGTTTAATGTTAGATGTTAAATGCTGAATGTGTATGTCAAATTCTAAATACTGAATATTAAATGTTATATGTGATATATAAATTGTTAATTGAGACATGTTACATGTAATATGTAAAATAATAAATGTTAAATGTTAAATATTAAATGATAATAAATGCTAGATGTGAATTGTAAAATATAAAACGCTTAATGTTTAATGCTAAATGATTTATGCTAAATGTTTAATGCTACATGTTACCTGTAAAATGCTAAATGTTAATTGGTAAATGTTAAAGGAGAATGTTAAATGAGAATGTTAAATGAGAATGTTAAGTGAGAATGTTAAGTGAGAATGTTAAATGAGAATGTTAAATGAGAATGTTAAATGAGAATTTTAACTGAGAATGTTAAATGAGAATGTTAAATGAGAATGTTAAATGAGAATGTTAAATGAGAATGTTAAATGAGAATGTTAAATGAGAATGTTAAATGAGAATGTTAAATGAGAATGTTAAATGAGAATGTTAAATGAGAATGTTAAATGAGAATGTTAAATGAGAATGTTAAATGAGAATGTTAAATGAGAATGTTAAATGAGAATGTTAAATGAGAATGTTAAAAGAGAATGTTAAATGAGAATGTTAAATGAGAATGTTAAATGAGAATGTTAAATGAGAATGTTAAATGAGAATGTTAAATGAGAATGTTAAATGGGAATGTTAAATGTTAGATGTTAAAAGCTGAATGTGAATGTTGAATGCTAAATGCTTAATATTAATTGTTAAATGTAACATGTAAAATGTAAAATGTATCATGCGAAATGTGAAATGTTTATTGTTACAGGTTACCTTTAACATGTAAAATGATAAATGTTAAATGTTAAAAGCTAAATGTTAAATGTTAAATTTTAAATGTTAAATGACAAATTTTAAATGTTAAATATTAAATGTAAGATGGTAAATGATAAATGCTAAATGTTAAATGTTAAATAACATATGTTATATATAAAATGGATTAGCAAATGGACAACATCGACCCTTATCTGACCGATGCTGATCATTTGTCATCTTGTTAGTACCAACTTTTAGCACTCAATTTTGAGTAGCCCTAGTTTAGTGATCCTACTAATTTTACGGAATTTTAGTAGATTCTACTAAAAATTGGGTAATTTAGAATTAGCGTGAAAACCAGCGATTTTGACTGACAACAATGCGAGCTGTGCTTTCAAAGACGCGTTGAGTATGACATAGCACGCATCACTCGACGCTTTATTGAAATTCAGCAAACACGAACAACACGCGTTGCTCGACGCTCCGCGTTACTATGCCATCGGCCTAAGGCTACGCCCAAGATGCCGAAAGCTTCACGTAGACGAGCTTATCCAACCTGGTCTATACAAGGTGTGGAATTGTAGGCCTGAATGTATTGGTGCACTTCGTTTTTCACTCGGCTTTCATTCCGCTTCGCACGATTCGTTTCTTTCGTTCACTCAATCACTCTTGTAGTGACGTCATAGCGTTTGTTTCGATCGGCGCTTGCATAGGAAAATTAATATGGATCATAAAATTTATGTATGTTACCAAAATTTATGAATGGTCTGCTACTAAATGTTGAGATAATTAATTGATTATTGAATTATCACACTGTATACCATGAAAAAGCAGCCTGTTTATGATTTTTTGCCTGTTTTCAAGTAAGAAGTTATCATACAATAAAAATTGCCAGCTGATACTTCGCGGCGACTTTACAAAAGAATACAATCAAGCAAAACCATCATGCACAAATAGCTAGGATTTGTTTTACTTCTTATTTCGCAAATTTTCCGTTCGAGTGTTATGACGTCTTCACCATCGTCTCCCGCAAAGTTTACATTTTTCCCTCTACCAACACATACGTCAGGGATAGATCTCCACACCTTGTATAGACCAGGTTGGAGCTAATCCTCCTGCTGTCGCTACAAGCGACGAGTATAGAGCGTGGTTTGAAAGGATGGAAGCAGACAAACAGAAGGAAGAACAAAATCGAGCGGAGAAAAAGGCAGCCAGAGAAGCGAAGAAATTGGCCGCAGCAAAACGTCTTGAAAATAAACCTTAATCTGCTCCAAAGAAGATGAAATTGATTGTTTGATCTTTAATGATTTGTATATTTACCATATTTCATCAATCATTCAATAAACACTTGTTTTTTGTTGAAATTAAGCTATTTTTTTAAGTGCGTCAAATAAAGAAAAACCTTGCGTCAAATAAGGCACATTACAGATTCTATGCGTCAAGTTAGGAACCCAAAGTACCAAACAGAAATTTATTATAACATCAAGAAATTAACAGATATTTACGTTTTATTTATTTTTCCTACATTCTGTATTTACTGAACTATTACTGTGTAAAATATTGATTGAATTGGTAAGACTCTCATTTTTTAGAACATGTTTGAATTTGAAATTGTCTTAACTGCGTCAAGTATGGTGCTTCCACGGTAATCTTTTTCAAAGAGAAAGTTGATTACGAGAATCAATCAAAATCACTTGCACCCCTGCTTCCAAGTTTGTGTGGTCGTTGGGGGCTTGTGGTTCTGAATATAGACAAACAAGCACAGATAAATTCTATTCCAACTATTTACTGATGTAAACTTGATGGCCATTTTATTGAAGAGGACATCCATGGCCACTTACGCTTGGCGTGTTAAGTGTAGGTGACAGCATCACGGACCTCATTTTCCACGAACACCTTCAGCACACCTCGTAGATCAGACCGGAGATACGTTTGACACCACCACGGCGAGCCAGACGACGGATGGTCAGGGTGTCGACTAAACGAACAAAACAAAATTCCCTGATATTCCCTGATTTTCCCGTAATTTTCAAAAAAATTCTAGGTGCAGTCACTACCCGGTTTTGGCAACACAACTCCATCAACTATAACTTTCCTCAGAATATATTAGTGTTTTATGGACATATTTTCATGAAATACCACACGGACCTCAAACCCATGAAGAGTGGTCCAGTACAATTTCAAATTATATAAAGCGTTCCATGCATTTTATATAATGCAAAAAAGACAGAAATCTCGTGCTGCCAAAAACGGAAAGGATCCGCATTCTACCCTAGGGGCATAAATTCATCCAAATCTCCAAATCATCTTCATGGTGACTAGCAAATCTCGATTAGTGATTTTCCCGTTTTTCTCCCGGAGTTTTGGAAATTATCACGGTTTAGGTATTTTAATCAAGCACAAAACTGAAAACGATGAACCCGAAGGTTAAGTGGGTAATTTCTAAGACAGCAGCACCTTTGCTGGATCTTGAATTTGGATCTGCGACATGTTCGAAGTCTACACAATTTGTGTATGAAAATTTCGCCCAAAACTTTACAGGCATTCATTTGATTATTCTCAAGCCTTTCCTTTAAATTAATTTCCTTTCACATTGAACTCTCCAGAATTCTTCTAAAATAAATTTGAAATTCTCTCTGGAAATCCCTTGAAATTGTTTTTAAAATAGAACAAAAATTCTCTGTAGAACACACCAAAAAATTCTTAAAATTCATCCTTTCTTCGAATTATTAACTCTCTCTAAGAATTCACTAGAGCTTAATTTTTTTTTTAATTTGCATGAAATTCTCCGTAAAATTAACCTCAGACCAACAATTGAA